AGAAAGAATATTCATATTATATTTAACCTGGGTGTGAACTAAGAGAGGTAGCACCACTAGGTTGTTGGCCAGAACCATAAATCCTTAGAGATCCATGCTCTTAGTCGCTCKAAGGGGCTGTAACTCCCTCTGAGGAGTGCTATACTAGACAAGGGGCGGCCAGTACTACTAGTAGTGAAATTAACTACTCAGTAGAATCTATAAAAGTGGAGTACAACTATCATGATATGATATTACATTATGTAACAATACCAGTACAAAGTACTCGGTAAATCCTAATTTTTTCCTAGAGCTTCTTTCCTTCTTCATCTGGTGATGGTAGTATCAAGAAAATCATCAGTGGTGCTCTTCTTCTTGGGTACACCTTTTGGTCATGATGCTGAGATTAGATTTATCATTCTACTTTTCTTTTTCCTTGATCAATCCAACATTTCTTGCAGACAAGAACAATTTCAGTACAGTACTGTGTCAAAGAAATCATTTTGCTTAAAACTGAAGTGGAAGAACCGGTGTARGAAGTTGAAAGATGCATCTTCCAATTTCACTTCAAAACAATTTTCGAAGAATAATGAAGGTGGTAGAAGCAAAAAGAAGCTTCATTCTGTTTGGCAATAAACAWTTTGATCGTTTTCAAGGCGCCATTCGCGTGTTGTACGCTGGACGAAGAACAAAAGAAAACGATTTCTGGTACTACTATGTACAGTATTTGTTTTCTCCGAGAATTGCATGGTTGACCAGATTCACTAATCAAAATATGAAGAAATCCATCGAATTTTATTCTACGAAATTCCCTAGCTCCATCCTGGCAAATAGAATGGGGTGGCAAAATCTTCTACGTTTTSTCGCAGTTCGTCGATTTTCGCTTTGATATCCTGGTCACTCTCTAGGACCTGYTTGAAATCCTTTAGTAAAACCTTTTTTGTTTTTCTTTTGATTTCTCCAGATTCAAGTTGCGCCTTCAGTTTTCGATCTGCTATCTCCTGCGCTTCGGTGGCTATTTTGCAGCCCCGGTGAAGAAATTCGGCTACTTGCTCAAAATCGTCTTCGTCCATCCCACGTGTCGTCAGTGCAGGAGTTCCCAGTCTMACACCTCCGGGATTGATCGCAGAYAAATCTCCCGGAAGACTRTTCTTATTTGCTGTAATACTTGCATTTTCAAGGACCATATCCACCTTCGCTCCGGTCAATCCAAGAGGGCGCACATCCCACAAAAGCAAGTGATTGTCGGTTCCACCTGTGGCAAGTTTGTGGCCACGGCTCTCRAGTCCCTTTCCAAGGGCTTTGGCGTTTGTAATGACAGCCTTTGCATACTCAGYGAATTTTGGTTCGCTTGCTTCTTTGAGAGCAACAGCTAGRGCACCGATTTGATGGTTGTGTGGTCCTCCTTGGAGCATAGGAAAGACCGCAGAGTCGATGCTATCCATATACTCCGATCGAGCAAAAATCATCCCGCTTCTAGGTCCACGCAACGACTTGTGAGTTGTGGTAGTAACAATGTCGGCGTACTGGAAAGGACTCTCGACAACTCGACCTGCTACTAGGCCAGAAATATGGGCCATATCAACCATCAACTTGGCCCCGACAGAATCCGCAATCTCTCTCATTCGTTTGTAGTCCCATTCTCTTGGGTAGGCCGATCCACCAGCGATCAATAGCTTTGGCAAGAACATTTTGGCACGATATTCCATATCGTCGTAATCGATAAGTCCAGTATCGGGCGAAACTATGTATGGCATGCTTTCAAAATACACGCTAGTCGCAGATACTTTCTTCTTCGCCGTCTGGAACCCGTGCGTCAGATGACCACCCGAAGGCAAATCCAAACCCATGATTCGGTCATGTGGRTTCAACAGAGCTGTGTATACTTCAAAATTTGCTGGTGATCCGGAATATGGCTGTACGTTGACTCCCCATTCCTCCGAGTCCAGACCATAAAGCGAGAGGGCTCGGGCCATGCASAGTGATTCGATTTGGTCTATAAACTCGTTTCCCCCATAATATCGTTTTCCAACCATCCCCTCGCTGTATTTATTCGTCAAGCAACTGCCCAGGACCTCTCGGACGGCCTTACTTGCAAAGTTTTCGGATGCGATCAACTCTAGGCCCTGGCGTTGTCGGGTATTCTCGGAGTCAATCATATCGGCGAGATCGGGATCGAAATCCCTCAGGCTACAGTCCGAGGGCGAGGAAGCAACATCGAACCCGGCGGGCCTCTCAGTCGATACCATCAAAGMCGTGCCTTCACGTGCGAATCCTCGGTCGGGTATTCTGGATCGCGCGCACGATGTGGCTGGACTCTCGACTATCTGAAACGAATTCGTAGATGATGGCAACATCGTTTGTAGCAGGAAAAAACCCAAAGGGCGTTTTGATGTCAACGGAAAAATCATTGAGGCTGCGTTTCTGAGAATTGAATGTTTTTATGTCCAGGGCGATCTTTTATTGATTGATTTTGCTGTGTCGAGTAGCTCAGCGTCCTCCACAGACGTTTTGTCGTTTGTTGAAGAAAAATTGAACAACGAGGTGAACGAACGGGACGAGGAACTCTGAGTAAATTCACCATCAATTCATCATCACACAGCCATCATTCGATTCATCGTCAGTCGTCGCTTACTACGAGTACGAGTACTACCCGTATGTACTGCAGTACGATTTTTCAGTGTAGAGAATCGAATCGAATCAGGTTCGAGGAAGACGAATGATAACGAGCAGTCGCATTAGTCAAATGTCAATGTTTTTTTTTCGTTGTATTTCGCGCAACTAGAAACTACGAAGTACTTAAATTACTCGTATTTTACTCTTGCTCTTCGTTTTTGGTAACAAATCAAATCACCTTWGAATGGAAAGCATTTCTTCATAACGACTCACCACTACTGTAAATTAATGAAATAGAAAGAAGTTTCAAATAATCTTCAAACTTTTAATTATTAATATTAAATACACAAGTCTTATTTCATTCACAAAAAGCTGACTCGAATCCTACATCAATTCCCTTTATGATGGCCGCCAGCGAAGTACTCAGAGATGTTAATGACTGTAGTCCCCCGATCCTTTACAGTAAAAGATCCACTTAGGCACCACAGTTCAGACAGACTTCCTCTTCCTCGGCTTGACCCAATGTTGCACTGTCCACCAAGGGCTTGGCTTCCACCATGGGCTTCTTCTTCTTCAGAGATTCCATAGGGGGGATGTTGGAAACTTTTTTCTTATTTTCCTTGTCGCTCGAAATGTTAGCCTTCTTCTTTGTATCAGCTGCGAGCTTCTCTTGATCAACCGTAAATTGAATTGCATCGGCCTTGGGTCGAGATCGTAGGTAGTACATTCCGGTCTTCAGTCCCTTCTTCCACGCATAGAAATGCATGGAGGTCAACTTCTTCGACGAAGGATCGGCAATGTGAACATTCAGACTCTGGCTCTGGCAGATAAAGGGGGAACGATCGGCAGCCAAGTCGAGAATGATTCGTTGTGGAACCTCCCAGACAGTCTTGTACACATCTCGGAGTTTCTTGGGAATTTCTTCGATCTTCTGCACCGATCCACGGTCAGCGATGAGGCGGTTGCGGAGTGACTCGTTCCAAATACCAAGCGAGGTCAGATCGCGCAACAAGTGCTTGTTGACAATCGTAAACTCTCCTGCCAAAACACGTCGGTTGTAGATATTGGAGGTAAATGGCTCGGTACTTTCGTTGTTACCCAATATCTGGGCGGTGGATGCGGTGGGCATTGGAGCTACCAACAGGGAGTTCCTCATTCCGTGCTCGGCAATCTCTGCCTTCAATTTGGCCCAGTYCCAACGATCGCTGGGTGTRACGCCCCACAAGTCAAATTGTAGTTTTCCCTGGCTCACGGGAGACCCGGGATAACTCTCGTAGTGTCCCTCAGTTTTCGCAAGATCGCAACTCGCAGTACAGGCACCGAAGTAAATGGTCTCAAAAATGTCGCGGTTTAATTGAGCTGCCTCGGGAGAGTCGAAGGGGAGCTTGAGCATGGCAAAAGCATCTGCCAATCCCTGAACACCAAGACCAATTGGACGGTGCTTCATGTTCGAGTATTTGGCTTCGGGAATAGGGTAGAAATTGCGGTCGATGACTCTATTCAGGTTTCTGGTCAAAATCATCGCAACCTGTCGAAGCTTTTCGAAGTCGAAAATGAGTGGGCCATTGTTGGTGAGAGGTCGTACCAACTTGGAGAGACTGATGCTGGCAAGGTTGCAAACGGCAGTTTCCTCTGGAGAAGTGTACTGAACAATCTCGGTACATAGGTTCGAACAACGAATGGTTCCCAAGTTTTGTTGATTCGACTTGTTGTTGCAGTGATCCTTGTACACCATGTAAGGGGTTCCTGTTTCGACCTGCGAGTCCAAGATTGCGAACCAGAGCTGCTGCGCCTGAATTGTTTGGCGACCCTTGCCTTCTTTCTCGTACTTTTCGTACAATTCCTTGAACTCYTGTCCGTGGCAATCGGGGAGACCGGGGCACTCGTCGGGACACATCAACGTCCATGTCCCGTTGGCCTTGACACGTTCCATGAACAGGTCAGGGATCCAGAGAGAGTAAAACAAATCACGTGCGCGATCGGCTTCGTTCCCGTGGTTTTTGCGAAGATCTAAAAAGGCAAAGATATCTGCGTGCCAGGGCTCCAAGTAAATGGCAATGCTTCCCTTGCGCTTGCCTCCACCCTGATCGACGTATCKGGCGGTGTTGTTGAAGACACGCAACATGGGGACGATGCCATTGGATGTACCGTTGGTTCCACGAATGTAGGATTTACTGGCACGAATGTTGTGGGTTGCCAGACCAATTCCACCTGCGTACTTCGAAATCACGGCGCAGCTCTTGAGTGTGTCGTAGATGCCATCGATGGAGTCTTCCTTCATTGTCAACAGAAAACAAGAGGACATCTGAGGGTTGTTGGTTCCGGCGTTGAAGAGGGTCGGTGTGGCATGGGTGAAGTATCGTTCCGAGAGGCCTTTATAGGTCTCCAAGACCCGCTCGATATCATCTCCGTGAATTCCAACGGCGACGCGCATCAACATGCACTGTGGTCGTTCTGCGATCTTGCCATTGAGCTTRAGCAAGTAGGACTTCTCGAGGGTTTTAAAACCAAAGTAATCGTACTCGAAATCGTTGTCGTGGTTGATGGCATTGTCCAAGACATCCTTRTGTTTCATGACCGTCTCGTRATATTCTTTCGAGACGAGCGGACCCGCCTTTCCGGTGGTAGGATGGATGTAGTTGTAGAGGGYTTCGGTAAGTTCCGAAAAGACCTCACAGGTGGATTTTTGTAGGTTTGACACGGAGATTCGTGCCGCGAGGATGGAGTAGTCGGGATGCTGTGTTGCAAACGAAGCGGCAGTCTGAGCGGCAAGTCTATGGCATCAGACGGGACAACGAGAACCATGATTMAAAWAAGCCAACCAAAATTAAATGTTTACAATAAACGATGTGAGACAAAACGAATCGACARATGTATATCGATAAATTTCAATTTCAACACCAGCGTTTGCACTGCTATTTTGACTTACTCGTCGAGTTCACAGGTCGTGACGCCTGGATATACACCTTGAATTACTTTCTGCGCAACAAGAGGAGGTTCTACGTGCTGTGGAGGGGTGGCATGAAAAATGTGRAAAAAGTGGATCAGCGAGAACGGGTGGTCACCTAGCGGCATTTCTGAATTCGAACGTTGTGAATCATTTTCTCTCTTGCAGTCGACAAGATGAATCTGTAGCRAATGTGTWTTGCGCCATGATCGCACTGGATAGGCAGCGGCAACGCATTGACAATATGATCCCTTACCTTGGTGTCCAAGCCGAACGCAAGCTTGTCGATGCGACTGGTGATCTTGTCGAAATGGACAGATTCCATGCGACCATCCCGTTTGATGACGTGCATACTCATTGTATATTAGGTCTGTTTTTTTTTGGGATTACTTGTGAAAGCGGTGGTGGCAACTCGTCCGTCAGTTTACTATGAACAGTGTTGTGATGCTCGTAGTGTTGTTTCGTGCTGTTTTTGGTATTTGGTAGGCACTAGTGATTTATGAGGAAGTAAGGAGCAACGAAAATTGCGCGTGAAATCTAGTCGTCACTTTTTTTCAGCACCTCCTCTGTGTCACACCCTGGGCATTCAAAAAAATTCGGTCCCAATGCTTCCATTATGGTAGCATTTGTACCGATTCCAACGCATTTGAAAATGACATTCGTGGCTTCCACGCAGGTAGACAAAGGCGCGCTTCCGCATCTACAGAACTTCGCGCCAAACTCAAAAAGAGAATTTTTATTGGACCCGTTCGACTAGAAGGCATCGTCGAAAACCTTCCGAAASAAAACTAAAGCGCTCTGCGTTGCTCATGGTCGGTCTCTTGGCAGAGCGATGTCACCATAGACCGAGTTCCGTCCATTGACCTTGTTGCATCTTACAGTGCGCTGAGGGAAAGCTCTCTATACGGGATATACTGCTAAAGTWACGCGGTTGATCCTGTCACGAGCCCGGACGAATTTCATTTCGTTTCGTATGAGGCAATCCTCTTCGACACWACAGCATGGGGGATCCCTCCCGGTGTATTCGAATGGAAGAAAAACCACTGCTGCTGTTGCGCCGGTGTCTGCCCTAGAACTATTTCGCATCGGAGTGAAACGACGTCRAGGAACAGGAATGTTCTCTGGTGGTGGTAACAGCAATGGCAGCAGCAGCAWTAACAGAATCGGTGGCTTCGAAACTTACAATGAATATTCCGGGAGCAATCGTTCGACGCGAACCTCTTTGTCGTCTTCGGTTTCGGCACCACCTCTTTGCCTACTTCAAAATCCGCATCTGTCTTTGCCGATCGGGCTTAGCGAATTGGCAGGGCCCGCTGGTGCAGGAAAGACACAAATGGCCCTGAGTTTGTGTGCGGATTGCGTTCAATATTCTTGGAGCGACAACARCCACCAAAAGAAGAAGGCAGTCTACATTCAATTGGGAGGTTCCAGCCGGTTCCTGCAAACCGCGTCGCGGCGGCTTAAGGCTATRCTGGAATCCAGGATAGCAATGCGTGATCCTTGTGGTGGGGGGATCCATCCTTCCGGTTCTCCCGGTGATGCCACAGATGCAACTGCTCACAACCCAGCAGCAAGACACAAACGACATCATCATCGTCAACGACAACGACAACAACAACGACAACAACAGCAACCAGATGTCTCGGAGGACAGGGTGCACGATTGTCTGAGCCGTATAATCGTCCATTGGATTTGCAATTCCGAGGATCTGATGGAGCTTCTCCGCACCAAATTGCCTCGATTGCTTCGAATGAACAACCGCACTGTGTCGCTTGTGGTATTGGACGGAATTGCCAACCTGTTTCGACTACTGCCAGAGCAGGATCATTTCTGTAGCACTAGAGGCTACGACATTGGCGACAAAAATCCATGGCACCACCGAGCCGTCACATTTTTCCAAATATCGAATCTTTGCAAAGAGCTATCCTCTGTGTTTGAGGTCCCATTCGTCGTTCTGAATGAGTGCACGAGTAGGATATCGAGTGAAAGCACTACGAACTCGCCTGTCTTGGAACCGGCGATGGGACTCGCTTGGTCGCAATGCGTCAACTGCAGCTTTTTCATTTGTCGGGAATCACGAAATAATTTGAATACCGCCGAGAGSGCGACGAGRACAACAACGTCAACGACAATAGCGGAGTCTATTCAGACTTCGGACAGCGTCCAGGTATGCCGTAGAGTGTTGCAATGTCTCAGAGCATCGCACATTTCATCTGAATATTCCAGAGCAGAATTCTGGATTGATCGAAGCGGTGTCCATCCATACGAACATGACTTTGGACAAGAAAATCAACGACGAAAATACAGTACATAAACCTAGTTTTAGAAATGACAACAGATAAATTATGGATGGAATACCATCTTGACTGCATTGGTTTCAATTTTCTGATCTCTAGTATTTTGCAGCATTCCGTATGCGTAGACATATCAAGAATTCAGGGCCTGCCGAGCGATCTAATGCACTACGCGAACAAACGTTGCTGCTCTCCTTGCTATCCCAGGGTCATACCGCGTCTCTTGTTGGCACGAATCTGCGCCACCGAGGCATCTGTTTTTAGTACCCAGTTTCCCATCATGCAGCAGCAATCGTCTTCCACCTTGATCGAGGCGCACGAACTTCGTTTGTACATCATTTGCTTCGTGCCCGTTGCATCTGAAAAAGCGCGGGTTGCGGGCACCACAATTTGGGATTCCAACCCCGAAGCCAAAATTGGGTTTTCTTTCACTTGCTCTAATCCTTTCTCGTCGGCCATTAGGGTTATTACAAGGCGCTTTGGATAAAAGGTCCGAATGACGTTTCTAATGATAGAGTTGTAGGAAGAGACTTTTTGGTTGGTTTCGAAGCTGGCATAACTCGACCCAGTCTCGGGAGTGATGTGGATGGTGGAGTAGGATCGGAACAAAATAGCATTCATAGAATACCCGCATGGTTCAAAGGCTCGATCGTCTATTACGGCACCGGGTACSAGGGCGTCGATACCAGATTGAATGGATTGTTGTTCTGAAATGCGTTTCACCTCGTCTTCTTTGCTTTCTCCTTCTATGGTTTCATATCTGTTGTAATAAAAGAGATTTGCAATGTCTTCATCGATATCAAACATCATAATATTTAGAACTCGGTCCGTATCTGTTTCGAGCGTTTGCGAGCGAATTGTTTGATCGGCCACATACACAAACCAGTGATCGGAAGTGACGGGCCCCAGTGTGTAGCCACTTCCATCTAGACGATCACAGAGATTGCGGTGACTATAAAGGTATTCTAGTTCTTGGTGAAAGGATTGATGGGGCCATGATTGGTCGCYTGGGAAATTGAAATTTTTTCGACTGTATCCTACCCAATCAATTTCAAGTCCCAGTTTGTGTCCTAAATCGATCAATACGGAAATGCACCGCAAAAGTGTTGTCGTCCCGCAGGTTTTCAAAACCAACATAAAGGGATAAACGAAGAGCGAAGATTCCGACAAGACATATGCATCGAGATAGGCATTAGATATGCTAGAAAGGATGCTAACACGAGCTCGAGCACAAATCAAATCCAAGTCGTCCCGGCCGAGAGAGCGAAGGCCGATTTTTCGTGTTCCACCACCTGCGGCGTCTCCAGGAGAAATAGTCTGTGGTCCCTTGGTATCTCCCTTTTTCCGAAACACCACTTCTAGCGTCTTTTCTGGCCCTTCAAATGTACCTGTATATTCCCTCTCCACTATGTTGCCGCTACCTTCATCGTCGACGTCAAAATGCCGAGGTGATTGGGGGTGTATAATCTGAGGAATCTGCCGTCCGTTGCTGGAATCGTCGTCGTCRTGAGCCTCCATTGTTCAGGTAAATCTGCGATAATTTCAATTCTGCTTTCATGCAATTTTCAATGGGATGCTTGAAGAATGTCTCTCTTTAATGCAAATTGGCGTCAGTAATGTGATATCGTTACAGTACTTTCGTCGCTACAGAACTTTTGGATAAAAAAACAGTTTGTTCAGTTTACTTGCTTGATGCGGTGCACAAACGTTACTGATTCGGATTCGGATTAAAAAAATAAGGATTGGTTTGATGCGGGATGACGAAGGACAGACAAACGCCGTACACAATGACATTATGGGAAAAACTAAAAACGGAGTAGGTTGAACTCAGGGGATAAATTTCAGGCCCCTGGTTGCACTTTCGTCCGGCTATATTACGGGTACTTAACGTACCTACTAGTTCTCGCAGCGGACAAGCGTACTCATACCGTACGACAATGGAACAGTAGTGGGGCAATAATATTACGAGTATCGTACGGTACTTGTGTTCTTCCGACTMTAAACATCGGTTTTGGTAAACAATCAATTTCGGTGTTAGCATACCGGTAAGAGATACTGTACTTGGTACTGTACGACAACGAGTGCTGGTCGTAAAAAACAGTAKCGCAGTACGAAGTAATCCGTATGATTAGCAAAATCCCGAGAGACTGATCATTTTAAACAAATATTWACCGACTCATTGGATTCATTCAGATGTCCCGCACTTCCGATAGAGTCGTACGAGTACCGGTACGAACGTACCTCGACGGTACAAAAAAATTAGAAAAAAGATCAAGAAATAAAAAATACGTAGTACCAGTACCGTACCTGATACTAGTACGTACTTGTGCGTCGTACTACAGTACTTTACACAAAGTGATGTGAAGACAACTTGCGAGCACGTACGTACCTAGGTACTAATACGAAATCTATGAGTAGTACGGTACGTACCGTACCGTAGCCACGATTCAAAAGTTTTTTGGCTCTCGAAAATTTCTTTTGAGATGCGATGTAGTAGTAGTAACTTTGAACTGTTGTCGTAATCTAATACTCCATCGCATCAGATCTACCATACGGTACGGCACAAATCCTCTCATTGTCKACAGCATGGAAATGGGACTAAAAAAGCAATCGCAGTCCATTAGATATTGATTGACAGCGATAACCGAATGTACTCCTACAACTGCAAAATCGTGTCGAAGCAAAAATGGAACTTGACGGTGTCTTTGAGTTGCTCGAGACGGCAAAGAGGCTTGAGAAAAATGRCCAACGGATAGAGGCGGCAACCAAGTACTACGAGAGTTGTTACCTCATGAGGCGAATCCTATCACGATTTCCTCGTAGTGAGCAGGATTCTCCGACATGTCGCCTTCTGGAAGAAAATATTCGATTTTATAATCAAGCTGCCCAGGCTTTGTACTTTGACGATGGTAGCCTGGAACCTAATTCGGCGCCAACGCCGACTGTGGTTACCATCAGACATAGTTTATCTAATGACAGTCCAGACGACRTATCTGTTCTAACTCCTCCAATGATAGCACTACCAGCAATTTCGCACGAAGCGAGACAGTCAGAGAAATACGATAAGTCAAGATTCACGCAATCTGATGATTTCAATAGAATGATTAGCCTCGCAAACACACGGCTTGGACAAGCAATCGATTTGGACGAGAACAACCAAGCAGACGCTGCCTTAAAAGTGTATATCAGTGCAGCAGAAATGTATCTCGGTGTTATAAAGCTTACAGAGGACTCCCCTCTGATGGTATCTATTACAAACGTCGTGAAACGTCGCCTGTCATCCGCCTTGGATAGAATAGAAGCATTGAAAAAMCCAGCTCGTAGTCAACCGCCAAACCGACAACAACAGGAAAGGCCAGGAAGCCTACGCTCTGATGTGAGTRACAGAGAGTCGTCCCATTCATTGTCCTACCTTTCAGAAGAAGAGATTGCGGTATTGAAAAAGTCTTCGCTTATAGCCTCGGGTTTGTTTTTACCTTTTTCAGAAGAAGAAGCCCGATCGTTATCGCGGCAGGTAGCAGCACAGAAGTCAACTTTCAAACCTTGGATTGACCCCGATGGGGACCTCTCTCTTTCGGAAAAACAGAAGAAACGATTCTACGCATGGTCACGRCCCCATGAAATACTTCAAAGGCGATCTCAAATGGGATTCAAACAGCGCCCACCGTCAATGATATCAAACATWAGTCCGTATACAATAAGACAGCAGTACGTGACCGATTGCAGCTTCATTGCCAGTTTGTGTGTCTGCGCATTGTTTGAGAAACGTTTTCGCAAACGGCTGATTACACCGATAGTTTATCCCCAAGACAAAGATGGAATTCCTGTTTATAACCCMTCCGGCAAATACATTGTCAAGCTCTGGTTAAACGGAGTTGCACGGTGCGTTGTAGTAGATGATCGGCTACCAGTAGATCGTCAATCAAACTTGCTGTGCTCTCAAACATCAGGTGATCACAACCATCTTGAGCTATTTTGCCCCATCATAGAAAAGGCATACATGAAACTCTGTGGTGGATACGATTTTCCCGGAAGCAACTCCGGTGTTGATCTATTTTCATTAACTGGATGGATACCAGAAAGAATTTTCTTTCCTTCCCAACATGGAGAAACTAGAGACTTCGAAACGCCCCCCGATCGAGCTTGGGAGCGTCTCTTTTCTGCCAATTCATTCGGTGATTGTCTGATCACTGTCTCTACAACACGTGATATTTCAGAACAAAAAGCAGATGATCTAGGCCTGGTGACAGGCCATGCATATGCTGTTTTGGATGTTTTCCAGTCGAAAAACGGAACCAAGCTGTTGCAATTGAAAAATCCATGGGCTCGAAAGGGATGGACTGGCAAATATTCATCACATGATAAAATGAGCTGGCGAGACCAATCACTTCGGTCTGAAGTCGGATATGACCCCGTCGAGGCAGCGAAACAGGACGACGGCGTTTTTTGGATAAGCTGGGAAGATGTTTTGCGCTTCTTTCGGAATTTACAGCTGAGTTGGAACCCTAAACTATTTTCGTAYAGAGTAACTACTCATGGTTTCTGGCCTGTCGAGCAAGGGCCAAAAATTGACACTTTTAATGTAGGAGAAAACCCACAGTATATTTTGGTTCTGTCGGACCAAGCTGTGTTGAAGAAGGCGACCATATGGGTACTAATTTCGAGGCATGTATCGAAGCAAGAACAAGAAGGGGCAGAGGTTCATGATTTTCTAACTGTACATCTTTTACGGAACTCAGGTAAATTAGAACGAGTATGGTATCCTCAAAGCAAAAAGTCAATTGTCAATGGATGTTATACGAACAATCCACACGTACTATTGCGACACGACGTCACTGGACCCGAAGACAAGTATATTTCATTGGTTCTTTCTCAATATGAGAAGAAAAAAGATTTGGCATATACACTCTCTTGTTACTCCACCGAACCATTTGAGCTGAGACGACCTCCAAAGCCGCTGCCTCGGAAATTGAATCTTTCGAGTGAATGGACTAAACATTCCGCGGGAGGTGCCTTCGGATCGAACAAATTCTTTGTGAATCCCATGTTTGAACTACTGCTGACAGAGAAGACAACAATACAAATGCGATGCACTACGTCGAATGCATTGGCTGGTATGTAACTGCAATTCTTTGTGAATTTGAATTTTCTATTGGTCACAAATGATTGCTGACCCTTTTTTTAATTTGAATTTTCTATTGGTCATAACTGTTTGCCGACCCTTTTTTCCTCCTTCATCTGTTTCATGATTGAAAAAGTCAATATAATGCTTATTAGCCTTCCTGACACCAAAATTACCCGAGATAAAAGAAATCTCCGGGAGTTGGTAAATTACAGTAAAAAGCCAATCTTGGATTCTGGCAATTATCGACACGGATTCACAATTACGGAAATGAAGTTAATGGATCCTGGTCATTATGCCCTTATTGTATCTACGTATGATGGTGACCAACTTGGGAAATTCATGGTCACGATCGAARCATCTGAAAAAATTACGACAAATTATATTGCCTAGAAATATAGAATTTGAAAGACCTTCATCTCATTATCAAATACAGTACTACGTAGTGCCAAAGCCTTCGTCGTAAAGTGCATTGTGCAAACCTAAAATCTGGCTCTCGTCTTTTTKGACTTGCGACGGAATACTGAGCTACTACCCTTTTGTTTYCCGCGACTCATTCGTTGGACACTGGATTGGATCCTTTGGAATACATTTTTCTTCGGATCCATACTACTCGCTTCAATGGGGGCACTTTTTGATTCTGACTTCACCTTCTTTTGCTTTCCTTGATCGAGATGCGAATCCCAACGATCAAGATGCATTTTTCGTTTCCTGACACGGTTTTGTTTGTCAATTTTATCAATGATAGTTTTACGTTTGCAATGAACTTGTGACGCTTCTGATTTCTTCGTAGGAGCTATCGGTTTGTCACCATTTTTATTGGTATCGTCGTCGTCATCGCCCCATTGTGAAACTTTCATGTTTCCGAGCAACTGGAAATCTGGTGCCTTCGAAGGAAGTGCACTGGCTTTACTCGCCCAGATTTTTCTCTTACGAGGTCCTAACATAACTTTTACCTTTCCTCGCGAGTCTGTATTATTTACTACAACTGTGGTCTTGTTCGCATTTTTAGTTATAGGACTTGGGTTTTGAGACATCTGGGCTGGACCAACCATATCCCTCTCTCCCGACCTTTCTTTCTTGCCATTTTTAGATGATTCGGCTCGGCTATCAATTTCGGATTCCGAGAATTCGGTTTYATTTTTGGSGCTATGTTTCGAATGCACATCGATTTTTCCGTTGATACTGCCCAGGGCTTTCTTTTTGTCATTCGGAGAAGAYTTGTTCTCTCTGTCCGATTCAGAATCTGGGGATTCAATACTTTTTCCTTGGAAGTGCGTTGAGGGCCTATAAGATCGATCCTGTTTATGGTCCTCTGTTGTCTTCTTGTCAYTTGAAACAGATACATCGTCGTCGTCATTGTCAGATTCCGAGTATTCCGATGCYTCTTTAGCGCTTCTCTTTGATGAGCTCATACAACCGCTTTGGTTTTTGTCTATAATAGCCATTTTCCCGTCTGACGTTAAATCGTCGTCGCTGTCCATTTCTGATTCAGAGGAATCATCAGAAGAGCTAGCAGATCTAGACTCTTTGTTATCGATTGTTTTCTTTWCATGGCATTTTCGAGAGGATCCTTCTGTGCTTCCGTCTGAAAAGTCTCCATTTATTGATTCAGAGTCTGCAGAATTAGAATTGCCTGAAGAAGATCCCTTGTAGGACGAATCATCACTCGAGTCATTTGGATCATCCTGGACCTTTGAAAATGAATGAGCTTCGCCGTTCGACAAAGGAGAGGTCAATAATGTGCCTTCGGTCTTTTCGACCGTTGTAGGGCGCCCTCCAATATTCTCCGTATGTATTTTTTTCAATGGATTCATGTTTGTCGTTTTCAATTTTTTGCTGTTTTCATCCTTCATATTTCGCTCGCTAGTTTCGTGTTCTTGAGGTTGAGGGATTGATTCGGCTAGTAGGAGTTCTTCTGCCATACATTCCTTCTTGTGATTCACATTTCCTTTGAGCCCTTCCCTCGAAGTTTCCATAGAAAAGCTATCCGCTCTTGCTCTCGCCCTGTTCCTCCCAAACTCGGTAGCCTCCAAAGCGGTCATACTTCTCGACGGTGGATCTGGGAATTCGAGTTTGACTTCGGTGCGACAATAAAAGAGAACATAAGCGTCTCTCTGTTTTAGAACAGTTCTTTCTGATACCGGTTGCACTTCTGAGTCATCCATATGATACCATTGACTTGTGCCGTTCTTCACTGGTTTCTTCACATACGCTGTATAATGTCCCGACTGAGAACTTCCGCCAACATGTATGACAATACCAGTTAATGTGTATTGACATGACCTATTATCACTCAAGGGAAGCTGTAAAGTCCCTGGGAATTCAATAGGCTTAGTGATTTTTGAGCCACCACCGTAGCCATGTGAATACTTAGAATATTTTTGCCCGAAACCAAAATTGTCAAACGCGAATCGTTTCAGTTGTATACAAAGAGTCAGTGGGGGCCGGAAAACAGTTAGCTGTTTCGTGGCACAGACATACTTTTTACATCCAGAGCATTTCCATTGGTTTGCAGCATCAAGGGTTTCTTTTCTCGTAAATTCTGAAAGAGCCTTCAGAACGCTCGTCGAAGACTTCTTGCTAACCTCGAGGGATAAGTCAAGAAATGGATCATATGTATTGCTCCGATAGTTGCATCTTCTGCATCGAACTTGGCTTCGAAAATATCCTCCAAATATTCGGTGAACAAATGTAGTTTCGTCCAATCGAGATACTGGTAGTCTATCTCGCCATCCACTAGTATTCTGATTTATGCCCGCTGCGCGAAGCTCACCATCGTTCATTGCATCTAATAAATGAACCAAAAATTCATGAGCATCCTCTTGTCTCCCAAGACGAAACTTATAACCATTTCGGCTTCCGCAAGATCCAATATTTGGGAGGTGACTGACTACTTTTCTTGGAGCAAATGGACCTTCTCCTCCCTTCGAGTTATTATTCAAACCACGAGCTTGCTGAAAAAGAGAGCATAAYGAAGAGGTTATTTTTTGTCCCTGAGGTACCTTTTTCTTTCCTCCGTTCTGTCCATTCCTCATTTTATCTTCCGATATAGCAATCAAAGTCTGGCACAAAGGAGGTAAATATGTCAAGCATTGTAATGTGGCATTCAGAAAGCAGGTGTTTCCAAGATTGTGGAATCCTCTAGGAAGGGAATGATTCATATATTTTCTATCTGATTTCCATTTGTGGGCTTCAAGTATCATTCGTTCGTCGCAAAGACCGCCCTGCGGAAGATTCAATTCACCGTCAGTGGAATTCGCTCGCGGCCTTAGGCCTCTTTTATCCCGAACAGCTTCCTTTACTGTCCTTCCAGTAATTTGTCCAGGGGAAGTAGGTTGCATGCTAATCTTACTTCTTGCTTTTTCTTTCGATTTACGTTTCTCGTCAGATTTCTTAATGTCATCATTTCTGGGAGACGCTTTCGAAGTTTCTTTCGTTGAACCTGGAGAAAGGTTTTCCTCTTTAATTGCTACGTCAACAAAATTGTCGATCGGTGGATTCTTCGACTCTCCGTTTGCTRCCTCGAATGCATCTTCTAGTTTTCTACAGCTTGACTCAGTTCCATTCAATTCATTTCCGTCTCCCCGTCTAGCCTTTTTCCTACTATCCGTCTCCTTATCGGGTRAAAAATCAGGTTGATGCTGTGAATTGTGCTCCTTGTGTCGCTTATTGCCGAAAATATCTTCTATGGTTTCTGACTTTTTTAATTTTATTGCTTTCTGGCTATTGTCATTGCCAYTTCCCACCGAGGGCAACAAATTTTCATCAAGGTTTGTCTTCGGCTTTTGATCAAAAACRAAGTTTTTCTTGCCCTTTGCCCGGGGCAAAACAAAATCAACCCGTTTCCATGAAGGTTCTTTGGGCAGATTATTTTTTGGTGAAGAAACTGGACTATTATGATCATTAGAAAAGACAAGCGAATTGCGGTCATGGATATCATCCCTYTCGCGATTTTTAGGAGAAGGAYATATCGTCGGTCCGGGTGAGACAGCATCTACAAGGGAAAAAGCTCGCGCCCTCTGGATTATATCTTGGGATCTTTTCTCCCGTTCTCGTCGCCGTCTTTTCTTCGAGGCCGAAGTCATTATTGAACAACTCAATCTCACGCAAGCGAAGTCTCCTAGCTGTAAGTTGAGGACGGCACTCTGAATTGAGGAAGTGAATTTGAGAACTAGCGTTAGTTGATGTGACGATATTAACAGTATCAGTAAGGTTGTCAATGAAAAGCTATCACTGCTTCCGAAGTCGCCCTCTTTTCGTTGGCCATCAAAAAAATWCTGTACGGCACTCGTACTCATTTTTTTAGTTTTTAGGGATTTTGTTTTGCTCAAKTCCAAGTTGCCTGAAGGATTTGTGAAACATACAGACAGACGTTTCACCGGCAAGTACTACTACTACGCACTACTACCGTACTACAAGTACAAGTAGGCAGTACTACTACTACTAGTTCTTATACCAGTATTAGTATCAATATAGACAAAATGATTAATTGTACTGCTACAAATGGTACTACTACTAGTAG